TGAAAAATAAAAAGCACACAGGTGATCAAATACCACCAAAAGAAAGCTCTATTTGTGTGAAAAAAAGGACGTAAATTTCATTTGGGCGCAGAATTGCATGACTGTGCAATTATCAGTTGAATTAGTGCAGCGCCGAGTAGCAAAAAGAGGCCTGGTCATTAAGGGGGGTAAATCCTCAGGAGGACAAGTGGTTAAGTCCAGGGTCAACGTAGTAGTCTACCAGAAGATTTTGGAGCACTTCATGCTTCCTTCCACAGACGAGCTTTATGGGGATGTTGGCTTCATTTTCCAGCAGGACTTGGCACCTGCCCACACTGCCAAAAGCACCAAAACCTGGTTCAATGACCGTTGGATTACTGTGCTTGATTGGCCAGCAAACGCGCCTGACCTGAACCCCATAGAGAATCTATGGGGCATTGCCAAGAGAAAGATGAGAGACATGAGACCAAACAATGCAGAAGAGCTGAAGGCCGCTATTGAAGCATCCTGGTCTTCCATAACACCTCAGCAGTGCCACAGGCTGATAGCTTCCATGCCACGCCGCAGTAATTGCTGCAAAAGGGGCCCAAACCAAGTACTGAGTACATATGCATGCTTATACTTTTCAGAGGTCCGATATTGTTCTATGAACAATCCTTGTTTTATTGATTGCATGTAATATTCTAATTTTCTGAGATTGTGGATTTGGGGTTTTCATGAGCTGTAAGCCATAATCATCATAATTATGACAAATCACGGCTTGAACTATCTTGCTTTGCATGTAATGAGTCTATCTCATATATTAGTTTCACCTTTTAAGTTGCATTACTGAAAAAAATGAACTTTTGCACGATATTTTAATTTTTCGAGTTTCACCTGTATATACGTGATTTTGCACACCCGTGCCGCCGTGTAGCTGTGTATCTGCTATACGGTGACGCGAAAGTGATTAAGGTGTTATCACTTTAGGAACAGCAGCAACATATTTTATTATATTTTGGCATATATGATTTGTCACGTTAGCACGGGTATTTAAAGTTATATTTCATTTCTACACTGCCGACTACAGTTAGGGGACCCCACAATTTTTTACTTTTTGCATTTATTTTCATCATTCATTTATTAACTATACAAAATTAGTGTAGTGCTCTTAATAAATAAAATTAATAGATATTCATGCATAAGCGATACCAAAATAATTATTAATTGTGACCTGATCCCCTTTGGGGTCTCCAAGTGACAAAAAAACAACACAGTGGGTGAAAATTATAAATTCATGGTCTAAAATTAGACCCAATGTGATCTTACTGCACACAACAGAGTGCTCCAAATTCCCAAATCTTAATTAGGATCAGTGATTGAACGTGACTTGTTCATCAAAAATTAAGTGACACACACATGTGATCCCAGCACTGGGGGATAGATATTCCCAAATATAGTGAAAAAGTGCTCAGTGAGAACAAAAACACTCCAAATAAATGTATTCCAAATTCAATTCTCACAATTATTTCCTCAAATAAAAAACATCAAAAAAATAAACGTCAAACCAAATTAATCTCAGAAATAATATAATGCAATATATAATGCACTAAAAAATTCCAACAAAATTAGTGTAACACAGGTGTTCCACAGATATTAAAACGTGCAGGTGATGCTGTGGATGTGCATTGCAGCCGCTGGTGATGAATCCAAAAATAGCTGAATTGGCTCCTCACCTCCTTACCGTGACCGTAAAAGGGCCAAACAGCTTTTGTGATCACACCTGGATCCTCTAAGTACGAATTCCTCTTAGTGGTATCCTCCAAAGCAGTAAACCTCACATCAGAATTGTGTGTTTAACCTCTTCAGTCAGGATCAGCTCCAACTCTACTTTAGCTATACTCAATATAGCCAACTCCCACAGGATTCATAAAAAGAGAGAGCCTCCATAGTGTGATAAAGTTTAATATGTATAAATATCGTTAAGAAAGCCAATAAAACACTCACATTTGGTCAGTAGATATACAGGAGTTTTAACCTCATGCTATGGGTGTATTTGCATGGGTTCGTATGGAGTACAAAGATGGCGTCCACGTTGTATATCGCCTCACCACGTCACCTACGCGTTGCGTCACGGCACACATGAATTCATGTATATCTACTGACCAAATGTGAGTGTTTTATTGGCTTTCCTAAAGATATTTATACATATTAAACATTATCACACTAAGGAGGCTCTCTCTTTTTATGAATCCTGTGGGAGTTGGCTATATTGAGTATAGCTAAAGTGGAGTTGGAGCTGATCCTGACTGAGAGGTTAAACGCACAATTCTGATGTGAGGTTTACTGCTTTGGAGGATACCACTAAGAGGAATTCGTACTTGGAGGATCCAGGTGTGATCCTAAAAGCTGTTTGGCCCTTTTACGGTCACGGTAAGGAGCCAATTCAGCCATTTTTGGATTCATCACCAGCGGCTGCAATGCACATCCACAGCATCACCTGCATGTTTTAATATCTGTGGAACACCTGTGTTACACTAATTTTGTTGGACATTTTTAGTGCATTATATATTGCATTATATTATTTCTGAGATTAATTTGGTTTGACGTTTATTTTTTTGATGTTTTTTATTTGAGGAAATAATTGTGAGAATTGAATTTGGAATACATTTATTTGGAGTGTTTTTGTTCTCACTGAGCACTTTTTCACTATATTTGGAACATCTATCCCCCAGTGTTGGGATCACATGTGTGTGTCACTTAATTTTTGATGAACAAGTCACGTTCAACCATTGATCCTAATTAAGATTTGGGAATTTGGAGCACTCTGTTGTGCGCAGTAAGATCACATTGGAGTCTAATTTTAGACCATGAATTTATCATTTTCACCCACTGTGTTATCGTTGGTCACTTGGAGACCCCAAAGGGGATCAGGTCACAATTAATAATTATTTTGGTATCACTTATGCATTATTATTTCTTAATTTTATTTATCAAGAGCTCTACACCAATTTTGCATATTTAGCATTTATCACTTATAGGTAATAAGTTGTGGGTGTTAGCAGCCAATTTTTGATATTGAGTATTCATTCATTTCTGAGCGCAGGTGGTTTATATCATATATCATTTATTTATTAATTTCAAAATGATTACTAAAAATAATCTTGTATATAGCAAGTGGTGTTAAAAAAATTATCTGTCCTGGGTGTTAAGTACTGTAGGTATACCATATTCTTTATTCTCCTATTTAGTATGTTTTACAATTCACTCATCACACTGATATACTCTGAGCTGTGGGTATGATTTAGGTTTCAAGTTCCCAGAGACTTGAAAATAATTTCCAAGGGTTTTGCCAGTGACAAAAAATATTGAGAAAGACTTTTATATAGAATGTTAAAAGCACAGGGCTTAGTGATTAGCCCTTCTGCCTTGCAGCACCTCTGATCTGAATTCTTGTTAAGACACTCTCTGCATTGGAGTTTGCATGTTCTTCTTTTGCTTGCGTGGGCTTCCTCCAGTTACTTCAATTTCCTCCCACATTCCAAAGACATGCTGTTAGCCTGAAGTGGTTCTAAAGTTAAAATGTTTTTTACCTTAATGCATTCCCTGCATTAAAGTGACCGAACGGCATGGTAGCCAAGCTGTGTTGTGTATGTCTATGGACAAATGCAGCCTGGCTTGGCTTATTATGGAGGCACATGTAGTAAAGAAGGAGCAGACAGTGCTGGTGGGGAACACAAGAAGAGGAGGCAAGTAACAGCTCTGTTCAACACCATTGCACAGAGCAGGTAAGAATACACTCTTTTTTAATTTACAAAAAAAAAATTGGCTTTGCAACAACTTTAATTGGCTCCTTTCCAGGGGTGTATGTACAGTGGTTGCAATTGCAACCCTGCCCCATACTTCAAGAAGCCCGTGTGGCTCCCTGGTACACCTAGATAGGAGGGGTGGCAGGGGTGGCATATAGAGGAAGTGATGCCCTCCACTGAAAGGTTGCAGAAGGAAAAAGAGGGGGGGTTTTGGTTCCTCTACATGCTGCCCTGCCACCCCTGCTATCCTCCTCTACCGCCTGCTGCTGCAATGGATGTGTCATGATGGAGAGCGAGAAAGGGGCTGGAAAATGTGCCATTTACCGGCCCCTTCCTTGTCTTAATGAATAAAGTCAGTGAGCGGTAACAATCACTGACTCTGTTCATTCATAACTGAAGCATAGTAAAAAGTATGTTTGCTATGCTTCAGTTTGTAAATTAATGGTAAGCTCTGTATAGAGCTATTCCTGTCCATTCATTCTGTGTTGCTGAGGTTGCAGAGATGGAGTCTGAGGGCTGTGTCCTCAATCTCCATTCTCTGCCTCAAAGGCGAAACATCAGAGGTCTGTTTAGACCCCGGATATTTCACCAATGCCCCCCAACAGGGCTCCTAAAAAATTATAAAAAATATAGAAAAATAAAATTGTAAAAAAAATTAAAATAAAATAGAATGGTAAAAAAATAGTAAAAAGATATCATAACAAAAATAAGAAATTACAGACACCAGTGGCAGAACTACCAGGGTCGCAAAGGTTGTACTTGCAATAATTCTGTTCTGGACATATCAAGTCATGTTGATAAGACAAAGGGTTCCCTTTCTGTCACTGTCTGTCCCACTAATTTTCCAGTTTTAATAAGTGAATAAAGTCATTGATGTCTGAGGCCCTAACTGCCTTTTAAAATCAATGATTTAAATCGACCCAGGCGTCTCCTAGTTTAATCAATATAAGAATTCCTGTGGAAGAAAATCAGTAATTGATCTAAGGGACACTCACTCTACTGTACCTAGACTATTTCAGATATTACCTGTGGAGAGCTATGAGATACACTATATTGCCAAAAGTATTGGGACACCCCTCCAAATCACTGGATTCAGGTATTCCAATCACCTCCATGACCACAGATGTATAAAATCAAGCACCTAGGCATGCAGTCTGCTTCTACAAACATATGTGAAAGAATGGGTCGTTCTCAGGAGCTCACTGAATTTAAGCATGGTACCCTGATAGGTTCAATAAGTCTATCCATTAAATTTCCTTGCTACTAAATATTCCACGGTCAACTATTATTGATATTAAAACAAAGTGGAAGCAACTGGGAACAACAGCAACTCAGCCACGGAGTGATAGGTCACGTAAAATGACAGAGCGGGGTCAGTGCATGCTAAAGCGCACAGTGTGGAGAAGGTGCCAACTGTCTGCAGAGTTAATAGCTAAAGACCTCCAAACTTCATGTTGTTTGTTTCATGTACTTCAGATTAGCACAACAACAGTGCATAGAGAGCTTCATGGAATGGGTTTCCATGGCCGAGCAGCTGCAACCAAGCCTTACATCACCAAGTGGAATGCAAAGCAGTGGTGTAAAGCACGCTGCCACTGGACTCTAGTGCAGTAGAGACATGTTCTCTGGAGTAACCAATCACACTTCTCTGTCTAGCAAACCGATGGATGTGTCTGGATTTGGTGGTTGCAAGGAGAACGGTACTTGTCTGACTGCATTGTGCCAAGTGTACAGTTTGGTGGAGGGGGGATTATGGTGCGGGCTTGGTTTTCAGGAGTTGGGCTTGGCCTCTTAGTTCCAGTGAAGGGAACTCTTAAGACGTCAGCATACCAAGACATTTTGGACAATTTCATGCTCCCAACTTTGTGGGAACAGTTTGGGGATGGCCCCTTCCTGTTCCAACATGACTGCCCACCAGTGCACAAAGTAAGGTCTATAAAGACATGGATGTTGAATCTATACCACAAAGAGTGAATGCAGTTCTGAAGTCAAAAAGGGGTCCTTTTTCCTTCAGAACTAGCAAGGTGTACCTAATAAAGTGGTCAGTGAGTGTATATCTTTAACCGCTTCCGTGCCGCCCTATAGCAGAAATACTGCTACAGGGCGGCACGGGTGTGCAAAATCACGTATATATATGTGAGTTTGCAGTCCCGGGTAGGGGTCGCATGTGTCCTACCTGCGCCGCCATTCGCGGCGTCAGCTGTCAATCACCGGGTCTGGGTCAGTGATTTCTTGCCTGCACCTGGTGATCACTGAGTATCTCTGACGGAGGAGAGACCTGTGTATACACAACACAGATGTCTTCCCTGTCAGCTCCTGCACTCTGCTTTGTATGGCTCTTCATATCACATAGTAAAACAGCACACAGCACACAGCACACAGTTAACCCTTTGATCACCCCTCATGTTAACACCTTCCTGATTTTTATTAGCACTGATCACTGTATTGATGTCACTGGTGGTGACTCAGTTCCCCCATATCAGAATGCCACCGCAGTCCCACTATAAGTCGCTGATCGCCGCCATTACTTCTAAAAAAAAAAAAAAAATTCTCAGTATATATACCACCATTTGTAAACGCTATAACTTTCACGTAAACCAATTATTTACACGTAATGTAGCAGAATACATTTTGGCCTAAATCTTTGACAAGATTTGATTTTTTACATTTTTTTACTGGACATGTTTAATAGCAAAAAGTCCAAAATAATGTTTTTTCCTGAGCTGTAGGTGGGGTGAATGAACTATGAGCATGCTGATCAGGTAGTTCACAGTTCATTGATACTACAAGTTCATCTGTCATGGTGGAAGATGGGACTTGTAGTTTATTCATTCACAGATTCTTGTGAATGAATGAAGCGCATGTGCATGTGAAGCCCTACACAGCTGCATCGTTTTTAAAATGTTAATACCATTAGAGTTTATTATAGGCATTTGTAATGTGGTTTTAACGCTTGTAAAACACCTGTAAAATGTCTATAAAATGCCTCAAAACCGCACATAGGGCATTTGGGGAGCATTTTTAACGCTTGTAGAATGCCCATACTAAGCCTGGGTTCACATCTGTGCGGTGCGGTATATCGCATGTGATTTGCACAGGAACTGCACTGCATTCCTGTGCAAATCACATGTGATTTGTATGCGGTGCGATTGGCTCTATTCGCACCGCACCCGCACCAAAAACGTGCTGAACCCTTTTTCGGGTCCGCACTAGAATCGGATTGCATGGGTACTCACACCTATGCAATCTGATTCTGCACATTGCACTGCGTTTTGTGGATTGCTTTCAGGGTGTTGTTAACTTAACATACACACCCGCAGCAGTTTGCATGAACGGGGTGTGACTGTGATGCAGTGCGGAATTTGCAATGAAAATGCTGTGACTTCCACACCGCATCAATGTGAACCAGGGCTTAAGCTCATTAACGCCTGTCTAACGCTATAGGGGCGTTTTTGAAGAGTTAGAACTGTAGTCAAGTGTGTCTGTAGTCAAGCCCTAAGAAAGCTTCATTGTAATTTTCTTTGAAGATCATAGGCTGGTGTCTACTCTGCCTATTTGCCAATATGACACAGCCAGCATTACACTTCTGGAAGTATCCAGGGTCCTGAAAATTGCCTGAACAAAAATACCACAATCCTGCCAATAAGAAAAGCAGATGAAGGGAAGGTATTGTCAGGGGGAGTCCTGTGATCTCTGTGAAAGGTAATAAATACTTCCGGATTACACGTAGGCAGTTATTGTATTCTGACAGTGGGGAGATTTCCCTACCGCCAGAATGCATTCATTGAGAAAACATTTTCCAACAGGCTGGTTGTACACAAGTTGATCGATATATCAACTTGTGTACAACCAGCCTGCCTTTACATAGATTGAAATTCTGCCGGGTCCCTGCTGAACTGGACGAGTTTCAATCCATGTATTGCTGGCTTTACTCTTCCAGTTTGTTACCCTTGCTGTGCATGGGATTACATGATAAATTCAATTACTTACACTTGTTGCATTAAAAAGCACATCCTATTATAATGAACACATTCCATATCTGCCTGCAGTTAGCTTCAGACCTCGTTCACATGTGAGCATTTTTCAGCTCGAAGCTCAATGCTCAGAAATGCTCAACAAGAAAAATCCCATTATTTCCAATGACCCCTGTTCACACTTGAGAGTTCAGTCACCTGTAGCAAAAATGCCTGTCAGTCAAGAATTGTACTTGCACTACTTTTCAGGCAGATCTGAGTATTTGTCCCCATAGGCTTGAATGGAAAACACCTGAACAGTGCAAATGAGCATTTTTTTCAAGTGTTTTTTTCAGACGTTTTCAGCTCCAACAGCAGCTATTTCCATTGGCCACAGCAAAAACGCCTAAATGAAAAATGCATAAAACAACGCCAATTATATTTGCAAATCCACTAGAAAAAAAAATCTTAAAAACGCCTTAAAAAAAAAGCTTGAAAAAACACCTGAGCTCAGTGTGAATGTAGCTTTACATATCCCAGTAACTGTACTGTGCTTAGAAAGCGAAAGTAATGATGATGCAAATCTCCGAAAGTAATGATGACTCCGAAAGTAATGATGACTCCGAAAACAATGATGACTCCGAAAACAATGATGACTCCGAAAACAATGATGACTCCAAAAACAATGATGACTCCGAAAGCAATGATGACTCCGAAAGCAATGATGACTCCACCGTTACTGTGAAAAGCAGAAGCTGTTGTCAGGACAGACAGACACAGGAGGTGGACACAACAGATAGCCCTTTACTTTGGCAAAAATATAAAAATACATACACTGATGGGTTGGATACAACAATATGCAGTGTGTCTATACTAAATCCACCCCTCCTCCTATTTTGGATCATTTAAAAAAAAAAACAAAACAGATTGTACTTTTACACATTAAGAGGTGCTTCTAGTATCGGTGTTACTTTGAGGGCTCATTGACACTATTTTTGTTGCAGTAAGGCTCCTTTCACACTGATTATTTTTTTTTTTTTCGTTTTTACTTTATTAAAAGTGAAATAAAATTCACGACCATTAAATCCTATGCAGCTCTTCACCCCAGGCAGTCCTACATGCTGTATTATTGGTGCATATTTGGTGTGGTAAAAAAAACACACCAAAAACGCATCTCCCCATTAAATAATGAATGGAAAATGCATACAAAACACCTGCAGTTGCGCTTTTGGTGCGTTTTCGAGTCACATGTCCTTTTTTTAGGCCTGGTTCACACTATTGCTGGTCTGCACAGGCACAGCAGCCTGTGCATGCGTTTCATGCAGGAAAAGGTTCCCACACTATTTTCAAAATGCAGCAGCAGGGTGCAAGTGTATCATGATTTTCCGGTAGTTCCCACACCTGCAAACGTGCTGCGTTTTTGATGCATGGGGATGCCATCAGGAATGAACAGCAGCGTGTTTTGGCTGCGGGTGGTTGCTGGTGTGGGAACAACCACGTGCAATAGTGTGAACCAGGTCTTACAGGTGAAAAATGTGCTGGTAACACAGTATAAACTTTTGAAAAAGGTCAAAAATGCATATGCGTTTTAATCACATTTTTGCAAAGGAGTAGTGTCGACATTTATTTTGAAGACAACAGTGTGCTACACATTTTGTGATGCCTCTAATTTTCTAGACATTTTAGTGCATTGGCAGCTCATTATTTTCAATGAGCTGCCTTAATGCAAGGCGTGACAAAATGTGCCCTAAGTTCAGATTTCCACCTGGGGGCATAATGTTAGTTAATAAGTGTATGAGATGTGGTTTATACACTGCATGCCATGTTCAGTTTGCTGTGTTGTAACACAAGGTAAGAAGACCTGAGCTATGGAATCTGAGACAAAAAAATGAAGGCAGAGGACTAGTCACCAATATTGCCTGTAGTGGTCCTGCAGCTGATCTTTTTCCTTCTACTGACTTACCATGCCTTGTTCTGTACTGTGTCTCAGTGTGGAGGTGGCCAACTTGGTAGAATAACAGAACCTTGCTCCCTAGTATCAGTGCAGCTCTCCGATGACTGCTGGGAGTAATAAAGCAGCAAGAGAGGTGGAGAAGTCACAGATCCCCACAATAAATTAAGTAGAAGCAGGGAAATACATGCATTGCAAGTCCTCAGGTACAGCTTTCTCTCCACCATGGAGAACAGTGAACAGCACCATAGTGAGATAGCCAAAATGTTCAATCTAGCAAGACTAGCAGTCACAGGTATTAGTGCTTTAGCTCATCTCTGTAATGAATATACCCTCAGTGAGTGCAGAATTGAAGCACCAAATGGTTTTTACCAGAGCTTATGATGGTGGAGATGGGTTCTGTTGCGTTCTGGTACCAGATAACAATAGGATCGCCCCAGCAAGGAGTGAGTGAGGACAGGAGACAGTGTGTAGACTGAACACTAAACATCAGGCATGGGTCATGGGCAGGAAGGAGAGTGGTCAGGTCCAGGCAAAGTTGCAGGCAAGCAGGAGGTGAGAGAGTGGCCAAGTATAAATGGAGGTCCTGGGTAGTAGTCAGGTCAATCTGGGACAGCATAAAACAAGCAATCAGGAGTGTATCATAGCTCTTTAACATAAAGCAAGGTCGCTGGTGAGAAGACATAACACCAGCTATTTCTA